TCTAGCCTGTGACTACCGGGAGGCCACAGCGGAGGAACTGCCTCTGCACTGAGGCCTAAAAGAGCAGACCCCTGCAGTCAGACCCACAACTGAGGCCTAGCTCCATAAAAAACGAGGAGGGGGCTGCCGGCTGAAGAACAGGAGGGATGCTCCAGGCCCAGGCAGGTGAGACCTGTAGCCTTCACCAGTCAGGAGCCTTTTCTCCCTGTTCTGCTCTGCCAGGGGACAGGCTGGTGAGCTCCACTTATTCTGCTGCGAAAGGGGTCCAGCAGCCAGAAGGGCTCATGACGGACCCAAAGGGAAATTCCAAATCAGTGGCATTTACGTTCCTTCATCACTTGCAAAACTAAAAGCAGGTGTAGCGACGGGAAGTTTATTCTCTCTGAAGATCCACTAATTCAGAAAAACGCTGAGCTGTGACCAGGCCATCAGGCTGTGGGCCTCACACCCTAGACAGGGACAGAAACGACAGGTGAGACGGGCGCAGAGAGGCCTCTCGCCGGGCAGCTCCACCCTGGGCTGATTAGCCAATCTCGCCCACTCTCGCTTTCTCAAGCATAATTGGAATTTATGTGTAGCTGATAAATGGAGGCACTCAGACGCACCCCGACCTTCCTACTCAGTCACCACGCAGCTGCCATGTGTAGCGTGTGTTGCCTCCCTCGCCTGTGGCAGATGAGGCTTTACTATGGGCTCTTCCCTCTGCTTAACTTGGACTCTGCAGGGGGGAGTCTGTTCTCCCTGCAGGACGCTTTCTTCTCTTCCTTGGGTCGCTCTCAGGCCTGCCATTAGCATCTAGGAACTCCCCGCTGAGGGCCAGCTACTACTCACACGCAGAATTGGTTCTCTGTGTGGCTCTGCTCAGGTACCATCTATCTGGTGTCCCTCACAGTAAAAAGATACCTACTGTTCCGCCCTGAGATTGTGTCTTAACCAACTCTCCAGGGCTCTGTCCTCCCCTTTCCCCAGCAAGTGACGTCCAGAGCCGCTGCCGTTTTTTCCCCGTGTCCCTAACTTGTTCGGCCTTTCAACGGTGCTGTTGAAGACCCTTCCCTATTTTCTGGGTATCCATCCTCCGCAGGTTCTCTGGGGTTATTCACAGTTCTAATTCCCTGCTCCAGCTGTGGCTGCCAGGTCCACAGCTGGCCACAGGCTCATCTACTGCTCCATAGGATTCTCGAGTGAGAAGAGTTCAAATCAAGGTCCAAAGTTCCCTAAGACCTACATGACTCTGAGTCCTCTACAACTCAGGATGTGGGATCTATCATTGAGGCCACTCTGAGAACACCTAAGCTCTGCTCGGATTACCCAAATATTCTCCTGACACTGACACCAGCTTGTTCAAGATGCTACCTGAGACTCTGCGGTTTTAGTTTTTTTTTTTTTTTTTTTTTAAGACAGGTTCTCTCTGTGCAGCTCTGGCTGTCCTAGAACTCACTCTGTAAACCAGGCTGGCCTTGAACCCACAGAGATCTGCGGGCCTCTGCTCCCCCCCCCCCCCCCACCACCACCAGGGTTGGGATTAAAGGTGTGCACCACCAGGCCCAGACTCTGTGGTTCTTATCTGGTCCTTAGCATTCTGTTTTCCTCCCTGTGCAGCGATTTCCAGAGCAGCCAGTTGGTCCCCAGAGGGGTAGGTAATTCAGGGGACATTGCTCTTTACTTTCGGAGGTTTCCTCCTGAACCCAGAGTGCGATCAAGAGCCCGTTCACGACGGTCAACTAAGGTCATCTCTTCTGTTTTCTCTAGCTTACCTGGGTGCTCAGACCCCACTGGCTCCCTTCTGCTTCCTTCAACCAATCAGACTCTGTCGCCCCAGGGCCTTCGCACTCACTGTCTCTTCTATTTGAAAACCTTCCCAGACTAGGGGAAGCTGTTCCCTGTTCACCGAGGTTATCACGTCCAGCGTCACCTCCTCACACAGACCTCTCCCGATAATGTAGTGGTTTTCAACCTGTGGGTCATGACCCTTGGCGGGGGGGGGGGGGGGGGGGGGGGGGGGGGGGGGGGGGGGGGGGGGGGCAGTGGGGGGGGGCTCAAATGACCCTTTCGCAGGTTCACCGAGGACCATCGGAAAACACAGATATTTACATTATGATTCATAACAGTAGCAAATTAAGTTATGAAGGAGCCATGAAATAATGTTATGGTTGGGGGTCACCACAATATGAGGAGCTGTATTAAAGGGTCGCAGCATCAGGAGGGTTGGGAACCCCTGTGAAAATGACACTTAAGAGGGCAGATCAATACAACCATTTTTTGCCTAAAGCCTAGCACATCGGAACTACTCCTTTGCTCTCTTGCCTATGGCCTGTGTCTCCGAAGCACCTCCGTGGAAGGATCTTGTTGGCAGGAGGAGGACTGTATCGCTGCAGAACAGAGCAAATCCAGAGCTTGGTGATGGCAGACGTGCAGTTACAGGTTGCTTGCCCGCCTAATAGGGCTTAAAGGAGATTAAATAAGAACGCGAAAAACACCATGTAGGCATGGCCACAGCAGGTTCCCCAAAGGTGTGGTTATTGCCACCCTTGACAGCTGGTGATTCCCAGGGGTTTGGAGACATGGAAAGAGTCACAGCACATCTGTAACCCAGCTTTATGCCTCATTTTCCCCCTCACGTACGATGGCGGCTTCCATCAATCTGTTGGCTCCTGATGGATTTGGGGTTGCCCAAATCGTGCGTGTCTTTTGACGTCATAAAAACAGAAGCTCAAGCAGCATTGCTGACAAATGGCGCAGAAAAATCCACTATCTAGAACCTAAGGCCACTGGGACTAAAGCTTAGAGGTTCAGCTGCTGCTATCTGGCAGCCCACATTTCCTCCTGAAGTTCATTGCTGAAACAGACAGACAGACAGACAGACACACACACACACCAGCAACAACAGCAGCAGCAATCTAGCGTGGGACACTGCTCTAATTATGTTTTCGCTTTGGCTGCATCTGTAACCTGGCGATAAAAGCAGAAACTGGCTAAGAAGATGAGCTAATCTGGCTTGTGGAAGCATACCCTAGAGTCTAAAACACTCCATACACTTCATACATCAGTAGTCTATGCAGATCTAAAGGTAGAGAGCAAGTCAAAATATTTACTAGATGCCAGCTATCCTTAAAAACAGACTGGCTTTGGGGGTTTAGAGATTACACAAGGGAGTGTCCTTACTGGCCTGGAGGGAGGGGTTGGCTTGAACTTTCTGCAGGGTTGAGCGGGGTTGCCTGCTGGACTGGCACCGTAGGAATGCGAACACAAGGCCTCTCGGAGCTGGACGTTTCAAACGGGTTAAGAGGAGGCATGTCTGAGCACTTCACCAGGACAAACCCAACCACCTGCTGGGTCACCTCACTGTGCAACACGCGTGCTCTGAATGTCAAGACGTATTTAGTGAACACTCGCGAGTTTGTATGTCCCAGGTTTGGTGCTGGAAGAAAAGTAATGCCTGCTCTCAAGACCTCAGGCTTCAGTCAGGGCAAAAGAACAAGATGAAGGCAAAACGGGATTTTAAAACAAGAAAGGCAACCTGGACTAGGAGGCATGAATGCACTAGAAATGTGTAACTTCCAATCAGGAGAGGTGACTGGCTCTGTTGTCACTAACTTAACCGATTTGCATAGTAATGGGTCACCAAAGGAGTTACTAGTTTGTTTTTACAGGTAGCTCTCTCAGAAAAACAAGCTGGGGGCTGGAGAGATTGCTCCATGATTAGGAGGGCCAGAGTTCAATTCCAGTATCCACACGATGGTGGTGGCTAACAACAGCCTATAGCTTCAATTCGAGGGGACCCAGCACCCCATTCTGGCCTCCTCAAACGCTGTATTCATGTGATACATGTAGGCTAAACACCCATACACATAAAACAACAAAATAATTTAATAAAAGCCTGGCCATCCCTTATAGGCCCCTTTGCCATGTGATAACCTGTACCACCATGGGACTCTGCAGAGAGCCCCTATCAGCCAGATGGCATCTAATCAGATGGGTCCATGAATATGAATGTCTTTAAACCCACAACGGTACACTTAAATATTAAGTTAAGATGGTGGCTGCTATGTTCTAAGGCTTCCCAGCCTCTAGAACTGAGCTAAATAACCTTTATGGTTTTACAAATTACCTGTCTCTGATGCTGTGTTATAGCAACAGAAAATAGAACAAAACAAGCTGTGTCAGATATTCATCAACATAAAACACTAACCACAACGGAAAGAGCAGACTAGGCCTGTAATCCCACCTACTCAGGAGGCTGAAGCAGTTCAAGTTAGTCGTTGGCTGCAGAGTGAGTTCAAAGGTGATTTAAAGAGAACTCAAAAAGAAGAGAAGACTCGGGAGATAGCTCAATGACAAAGAACTTTCCTAGCATGTATCAGGCCCTGGGTTCAAACCCTCATAAGACATGCATTCCTTCACTCTGACTCTCTCTTTCCTTCCTCCCATCCTAAAAGCAACACCCCCCCCAACACACACACACATACATAAAGACAAACACAAACTTGAAGAAGTGGTGTGATAACAATGCTGACAGTGAAATTAAACACAACCGACTCGAAAGAAATTGGGAGTTAGCTAACACCTGTTAACACAGGGCAGGCCAGGAAAGGGAGAGCAAAAGGTAGCTGTAAACAGGACACCTCTACACCAGTCGTACAGAAAGAGAATTACTCCGATACAGTGGAATTAAACCCATCACCGCAGACCAACAGCTGCTAATGTCTCTTGGCACTGTGGCTTTGGAGCAAAGCCGCTCCTAAGATGGGGGGGGCCCTTATCATTTATAGTCCAGATGCCATACCTTGGTGTTCCTCCCACAGCATGTGAGGACAGTGGCCACACTGGTAGAGGGGCAGGGGGCAGTTTAAGTGTCAAGAATGACTGGGCCGGAGAAGGAGACCAGGGACGGGAAGGAAGCGATGGGAGGGGTCCCAGGAGGGCCACCCTTACTCAAGATGCACAGCACGGGCGGGCTGTCCCCAGCGTTACACTGCACTGGTAAGACATTCTCCACTCACTCGAAATGCAGAAATATTTATTTTGGTTTCCTTCATTGTTTTTGGAAATTCTGTTTTGGTTTATAAAACATAGAAATAGCCAACACTGAAAGCAAACATTCAAAACCCCCGTTGTGAAAATTATTGACTTCTTGTGCAGTTAAGAATACAAGTATGAAGTTAGGCTACCAAATAGTGTTATTACAATGACGATTCCTTAGTGCAAACCCAGTTGTGGTTCAGTAACACACGCACTGTCACACGGCCAACAAGGGTGGCCTCAAAGGTATAAACGACAGCATGACCAGGTCACAGGTGGCAAAGACTCGCAGTAAAGTGAAATGCTGCTAATTTCCCAAATTAACTTTGCAAAACAAAAATTCCTTGAGGAGTTAATCCCAGGATTTCTCCCAGATTTCTACATACCAGAATGTTGGCTTGTCAAATGCATCTCACAGAAATCAGGTAGTTTTACATTTACTCACTACTGTCCGTTCTAATAAGTACCCATATTTACCAACTCCCTTAACAGTTTTGAAGACACGCTTTGCCTGAGTTTAACTGGGAGGAAAAACAGCAAGTTGATCCCCACATCATCATTGGCTAGGAAAACCAGGGTTGGAGCCCAGTGGCCATCACAGGTGTGAGGCGGTTCCACGAGGAGCCGGTGGACAGCAGCGGAGGAATCGCAGCTGAACGTGGCCAATCCAGGTCGTTCTCCGACAGACCATCTTCATTGCAGAGTCTAAGGCAGGAGTTCTCACAAGGCCTGGGAAGGGCACAGGGGGTCAGATCTGGAGAAGAGTCCAAGGGCATCCTGCTGCGTGTATGGGAAGCTGCTGGCTCGCAGGAGCCACCATGTTTTCTTTTCTTTTTTCTTTTTTTCTGAGACTGGGCGCCAGCATTGTTCTGAGGAGGACTGGTCTTTTAGTTTGCTGGGAACCTGTGTCCCAGCAGGCACAGCAGGGACCGTTTGGAACCCTTACAAATAGGAAGGGTTGTGTGAGTGTATTGTGTAGGAGGTGGAGGAGTGGAGGGGGAAGGGATTTAAAAAGAGAAATCTGTGGTCCGCGGCGACTTGCTTCCGCCTGGACACTTGTTCGTACTCATGAAGGGACAGCTTTCCTCCAGTGCACTGTATTCTCGAGAGCAGCAGCAAGGGGCAGACACATCAGAGAGAGCAAAGTCCTAACCCCTCGGTGAGAAAGACAGGAGACAAGAAGTTTTAACACCCCACCTTAGTGGCTGAGGAAATCTTAAATAACTTAGCACTTTTATGGGTTCCCCTTTACAATATTTAAGGCTCGTTTTGGAAATCGTGTATCACCAGGGTCGTGGGCTGCAACACACGTGACTGTAAGGCAGTGTTCCGTGCCCTCTAAAATCCCTACGGTAAGACCCTGCGGACAAGTCCCTCATGGCCATTTCCTTTCCTACACTTGCTGCAGGCGAAGTTTGTCACCAACGCGAAGGCCATTGGTACAAGGAGGATTGTGGAGGTGTGCCGTTTCTTCCAAGTTGTCGTCTTCACATTAAATCTTGATGGTGGAATACATTTCATCTATCTGTGACCTGAAATAGTTCCGTAGCTCTGGCCTTTTTGCCTTCAATGTTGGAGTCAGAAGGCCATTGCTAGTAGAAAATAATTCCGTGTGTATAGCAATGCCTTTGACCTGCAAATAAACAAGGCTGTTGTTATGAGGGGAGCAGACAGACACAAAAAGTCTCAACAGAAATGAAGCTCTCAGAGGAGATGGAGGCCTGCAAGGCACCCAATCTAGCCTCTCATTTCACTGTGCATTCTCAAGGGCGGATAGGGGTCCCACAGGACAGAATTCCAAAGCGTGGGTTAAGTTCAGGGAAGTACCCAGTCATAGACTGAGTACTGGTGCTACAGAGACTGCTCATCACTTATGAGCACTTCCTACTCTTCCAGAGGACCCAGGTTCAATTCTCAGAACCCAAGTTGGGCAGCTCATGACTGCCTATAATGTCAGCTTCAGAATCTGACACCTCTGACCTCTTCAGCACCTGTACCCGTGTGCACATGGCTATACATGTGTGAACGAGCACGTGCGCACACACAAATGTTTAAGAAGAAAACCCTTCTGAATCAAACTACTCCTAGTATTTCCTTAGGTCTGCTCTTCAGCCTCTAAAATCTGCACATTGAAAATCTTCAAGTCAGGTTCTGTTCTACACCGCATCTGCCCTTGGATCAGCGTCACACCTGCTCAAACGGCTTCAGACCAGCTTCCTTCCCGAGTTTCACCATGTCTTCCAGGATAGCCTTCTGGACATCCTAACAATGTAAGGAAAAACAGATTATTTTCTCTCATCCTTAGAGGTGCTGAGAACAGAGTGGAGAGGCAGAAGACGGTCGGAAGAGTGCCAAGTCTCACCTTATTTCTGCACAGCTCCTCAAATGAGCCTTGAAATCCCCTCTTGGAGGCCCAGGAACCCAGGTTCTCAGCATCTGGTACCACAACAGCTATGAGAAATGCCTATGACACACACAAGCAAATCATTACCGGTTGATTTGTCTATCTTGCAGGCCCATGGGAATATCCGGTAATATTATGGGTTGTTGCTCAGAATGTATTCCTCCCAGGTGAGGAGGAATACTACCAGCCCTCAAGTAGATAATTACAGACACCACCAGTCACTGGTGATCAAAATCTAACAAGGCAATTTTTATTTACTTTGATACAAACTTTTTTAACTTGCTTTTTTTTTAAATTTTGAGAGCAGGATCTCATGTAGCCCAGGCTAGCCTTGAATTGGCTACATGGTTGAGACTGGCCTTACACTACTGATTCACTCATCTCTGCCTCCCAAATGCTAGGACTACAAGTGTGTATCTCCATGCATGGCTGTGTATACTTCTGGAAATGTTACATGCAATTAGAATATTAATTTTGATTTTCAACAGTGAATATTCTTGACTTAAAACATAATTTTCTCAAAAATATTTACAATGTCATAAATAAGCTAAGCATAGCAGTAAGTTTAAAAATGTAAAACTTTCCCTTGGGTCCCTGGCCGATGTGGTCTTAGGTTCGAATATCACCAGTCTATTAAAGAAGGTAGCAATAAAATGCCTCTGGAGACATTCTGCTACACTCAGAGATCAGTGCCCTGCTTAGCCATCATCGGAGAAGAACAAACAGAGACCCACAGCTGCACAACGTTCGAAGAACGAGAGACTGGAATTCTCAGCCCTAAATGGGAGGTCTCCATCACATCCCCTCCCTTGGGGTCCAGGGAATCCTTCAGAAGAGAAGGCAGAAAGACTAAGAGTCGGACAGGATGGAGGCACCCAGGAAACAAGGCCTTCTAGACACATCAGACTGTCACACATATGAACTTAGAGACCGTGGCGACACCCATAGGGCCTGCACAGGGCCTGCACGGGTCCAAACCAGACAGGGTCCCAGCACTGAGAGAGAAAGTGGACACTTGCCTCTATCATCCCTAACCCAGAAGCTATCTCCAACTGATAAAAACTCACAAAGGAAAAATTAGTTTTTTTTTCCAAGGGAGTCTCACTGCGTTTAGTAACCTAGTAGGCCCCATGTGCAGCAGTCGATGGTCAACATACAAACTCAGTGACATCTTTAGAGGGTCTCTGCTTAATAATAATGTTTGTCGGAACTTTTAAAAAACCTTTTCTGTGTCTTTTTTATTTTTTTTTCTTGCTTGTTTTATCCTATTCCAGTTTGTCTTATTTTATTACTGGTTTTTAGATGGCTACGTGTTTTCTAACTAAGGAGAGGAAGGATGGATTTAGATGGGAGACTCTAGAGAGAGTTGGGGGCGTACAGTAATCAGATCTATTACATGAAAAAAAAATCTCTTTTTTTGTGTTTCTGTTGTTGTTTGATTGAAACAGGGTTTCTCTGTGTGGCTCTGGCTGTCCTGGAACTCACTCTCTAGACCAGGTTAGCCTCAAAGATCTGCCTGCCTCTACCTCCCAAGTGCAGGATTAAAGGCGTGCACCACCATCACCATGCCCAGTGTTTGGCTTGTTTTTACTTGTTTTTCTTCACTAAAAAAAAAACCTATTTTCAGTAAAAGACAAACAGGAAAAAATAAAAGTAGAATGTGCCAGGCGTGGTTGTGTACACCTTTAATCCCAGCACCCAGGAAGCCGAGGCAGGAAGGTCGCTGGGAGTTTGAGTCTGTCTACAGAGTGAGTTCCAGGACAGCCAGGATGACAAAGAGAAACCCTGTCTCAAAACAAAAATGTACAATTTGGGGCCAGAGAAATGACTTAGCAGTTAAGAGCACTTGTTGCTCCTGCAGAGGACCCAAGATAGACTCACAACAATCCATAACTCCAGTGCCAGGGAATCCAATGCCTTCTGACCTCCACAGGCACTAGGTGGTGCAGATACACATACACACACACACTCATACAAACAAGATAAAATAAACCTTTAAAAATGTAAAACTGTTATATTCTATAAGCATTAATATTTCCATTCATAATTAAATTAGAAACATACTATCAAGCCCCTAGTATCTTTATCCAACTACTATTGATACACCAGAGCAATTAACTAGTGTTAAAATCCAGAAACTGAAGAGAAAAAAAAACTTTGGGGGATAGGAAAGGCCAATGGAGTAAAACCCAACACCGAGTTGGTGATAGGGAAGAACTAGAGCAAGGTCAATGGATACTGACTCAAACTGTCATTCACCTGTTTGTTTTGATTTTTTGAAACAGGTGCCTATAAATAGTAGCCCAGGTTGGCTCCCAGGCCATGACCCCTCACACTGCCAAATACTGGTACTGTAGCTGTGTCCCACCGTGCATGGCACTTGGGTGCGTAGGAGCGGCTCTAACTCAGAACATACCTGCAGGCTTTCTCCATGCACAAACACCTGGGCCACGGCTTCGCTTCGCAGGTAGATGTTCTCAATCTTTTCTGGTGCTATGTACTCTCCCTGGGCTAGTTTAAATATGTGCTTCTTCCTGTCGATAATCTTCAAGGTGCCATTCTGTGTATCAGAGAGGAAGGGGATGGTGGGTGAGTTAAGGCTGGCTCTCCACCATCAGGCTACTTGAGATTGCCATGTGGAGAGAAATCCGAGAGCCCATGTGACCTCAGCTTCTCCACTTCGCACAGACTTACCACACTGCTTCATTTGGCCTCCTGTCACAAGTGGGGACACATGTATCCTGCTCACCAAATGGGGTGTGTTCCCTGTCAGCCAGGACATAGCCTTACCCTCCCACAGCACTCTGCAGACAAAGGCCAAATTTCCACGGCCATTACCATGCTTTAGAGGAAGGCAGATGCTCCAGTATTTTTTGACAGGTCGGTCCCAACACATACAAACCTGTGGGAATGCTAGCCAGCACCCAAATTCAAGGACAGATTTTTTTTTTTTTTGATGTCAAAATGGAAGGCGGTGATCAACTGATTTTAAGTATCAAAAAAGCATTGTGCTGCAGTAAAAATCAAGATTTTAATCAAATATTCTAAATTATATCCCAGTAGCACAGACACTGAGAGAAACAATTAATAAATGGGACCCCCTGTAACTGAGAAGCTTCTCAGCAAAGGACACAGTCAACAAGATAAAACAACAGCCTACAGAATGGGAAAAGATCTTCACCAACTCCACATCAGACAGAGGTCTGATCTCCAAAATATACAAAGAATTCAAGAAATTGGTCATCAAAAGAACAAATAATCCAATAAAAATGCTTAACATCCTTAGTCATCAGAGAAATGCAAATCAAAACAACTGATTCCATCTTATACCTGTAAGAATGGTCAAGATCAAAAACACTGACGACAACTTATGCTGGAGAGGTTGTAGGGTAAAGGGAACACTCCTGCATTGCTGGTAGGAATGCAAACTGGTACAGCCCCTTTGGATATTAGTATGGCGATTTCTCAGAAAATTAGGAAACAACCTTTCTCAAGACCCAGCAATACCACTTTTGAGTATATATCCAAAGGATGCTCAATCGTACCACAAGGACATGTACTCAACTATGTTCATAGCAACTTTGTTTGTCATAGCCAGAACTGGAAACAACCTAAATGTCCCTCGACTGAAGAATGGATAAGGAAAATGTGGCACATTTTTACAATGGAGTACTACACAGCAGAAAAAAAATGACATCTTGAAATTTGCAGGCAAATGGATGGAGCTAGAAAACATCATATTGAGTGAGGTAACCCAGACCCAGAGAGACAATTATCATATATACTCACTCATAAGTGGGTTTTAAACATAAAGCAAAGAAAACCAGCGTATAATTCACAATCCCAGAGAACCCAGATAACAATGAGGACCCTAAGAGAGCCATCATGGATCTAATTTACATGGAAGTAGAAAAAGACAAGATCTGAGTAAATTGGGAGCATGGGAACCAAGGGAGAGAGTTGAAGGGAGAGGAAGAGAGGGGAGCAGAGAAAAATGTAGAGCTCAATAAAGTCGATAAAAAATTAATAAGTCTGTTTCCTGCAGGATACAAAGGATCATTCAGCAAGTAGAGGGGTGGGATGCAAAAGCCACAGGCTGTGCAGCAGGTGCGGGGCACACCAATGGGGAATGGGAGGGGGGAGAGGGATGGATACATTCCTCCCTGCAGCGAGACAAAACTGTCTGCAAAAAGAAGTGACATCAACTTACTGGTAGCCACTTCCCAATGTCTCCCGTGTGTAACCAGCCATCTTTATCCAGGGCTTCTGCTGTTTTTGCTGGGTCCTTCAAGTAGCCTTTGAACACATTTGCCCCTTTCACACACACCTAAGAAAAGAGAGTCTATTAACATCTACTAGGGATTCTCCCAAGAATTCACGCATGTGTGTATTCCACCCTTTACCTGGAAGCCTTCCCTTCTACTCTCTAGAGGGAATTACCAAAGTCCCATCAGGACTTTGGGGCCATTTCCAGTGTCCTCACTTCCTTTACTACAGGCCTCAGGATAGTCAAGCCACAGGGGAACGTAAGTCTCAGACAGAATGACATCACTTGGGTAATTAGGCTTTCCCAGCAGCCTAGGCAGGGCCATTAGCAGACTGGGGACAAGCCTCTCTGGAGCTTTCTGTCATGCTCTGGGGCCCAAATCCCCAATTCTGCTGCAGAAGGAAGGACCCCGAGGGGGTCTAACAGAAATGCCCTTTGTATTGACCTGCTTGACTCCAAGATCCCAACAGACTCCAGCCTAACAGCTGTCCTGAGCACTTTTCAGAACGGGGCTCCTAACAGCAGCTGTCACAGGATGCTGCTCCTCACTGACAGGCAGGTCTCCACTCACCTCACCCTCGCCCTTGGCAGCCATGTAATTCATTTCTTCCACATCGACAAGCTTTATATAATTGCAAGGCATGGGGGCACCGACATGGCCTGCATATAAAACGGAAGAATCATTTCAAAGTGTACTAGAATGGCCCCAGGCCAAAGCATTTTTACAACCACAATATACCTCCTCATGGTGACGGCTCCTAATCATGCCTGGCTTTTGCAATTGCAGCCTGGTAAAATAATTTAAGAGGGCTTCTTTCTCGGAGAGGGGTGAGAATACCCAGAGGTCTAATCAGGACCTTTTCCATTTTTCTGAGGTTCTGAATATATCTCCAACACTGAAACTCCAGCCACTGACTTGAAGGTGGGTTCAGACACTTGGAGGCATGCTTTCTAAATAAAACTGTTACTTCAATTCCATGATCTGATTGCATTGACTCCACCCACCCCACATACAATTATTTTTTGGTCCCTAATACTTTATATAGCTCAAGATGGCCTTGGTTTTCTGATCCTCTCGCCTCTACCTTACCAGCACTGGTACAGGCATGCCACACCCGATTTCAGACGTCTCTCTCAGAGAACACAGGCAGCTCTGTACACCCTGGTGATTCTCTGACACATCCCTTGGTTCTGACTGGCAGTCATTGTTCTTAGATGAGCATGTTTTTACATTTATGTCTATTAAGACATTTCCACGGATAGGCTGTATGATGCTTAGATTTTTGACAACTTGACACAAACTAGGTCACCCGGAAAGAGGGACCTCAATAGAGAAGACACATTCATAACACGGGCCTGTAGGCTACTCTGTGGGGGCATTGTCTTGATTAATGATTGATGTGGGGAGGGCCCAGCCCGCTGTGGGCAGTGCCACTCCTGGGGCAGGTGGTCCTGGATCATGTTAGAAAGCACGAGGAACAAGTCACAGACAGCAAGCCAGCAGTATTCCTCTATGGCCTCTGCTTTGGTTCCTGCCTTGTCTCCTGCCCTGCATGGAGTAGTAAGATGAAATGAACCCTTTCCTTCTCAAGCTGCTTTTGATCCTAAAGATTTGTCATGGCAACAGAAAGAAAACTAGGAAAGGCATCTTTTCCCAAAACAAAAATAAGATATTACAGATACATTTTAAGAGTCTCACAGCTAATAATGCCTAAGGTTTAACAATCTAACATAGAAATTGTTGTTCTAAATTCTCTTACTGTTAAGGAATATGGGGTTAAAAACTAAAAGTATAAAGACACTTCCAGAGTGTCAGCATTGATGCCTGTAGAATTACATTATGAGACAGTGACAGTCGCTGGGGTCTAAGAAGCCAGGGGAACTCATTCATTGCTGTACAGAAGACCCTACATTCTCTACATAATATTCTCTCTGTGTACATGCTATTTAAACAGCATCTATAACTTAGCTCCCCATGGTATCCCTGGGATAACATTTACACAGTGTCCACCATGCATACTCCCTACAGGGCCATATCCATTGCAGAGGCTCTTTGGGTATTCTCCTCCCTGTTTGCTTTGAGACAAAGAGTCTGGATGCATTTCTACCAGCAGTTCCAACGACCGGCCCAGCACACAGTGTAACTGTAATACCTACTTAAGGGTTGAAACTACCAGCAAATGAGGAGACCCTGTTCGATCACTGGCAAGTCTGTGGAGGAGGCATTTCCTCTCAGATGCCCCTGCTAGGATGCACCACAGCCTAGTCACACATTTTCTTTCCAGCTCACAGAACCTCAGGGCTCTCTCCTGAGACCTAATTCCTTGAGACATACTATGCATTGCTGAGCAAGGAGGCCGATGACCCAATCAACGATGACCTCATCTCCAAACATCCCAACCTCCAATGAGGAAACTCTGAAGATGGCTCTCCTGCCAACCGTACCTGCCGTCCAGTCCCCAGGCATGCTCAGGGAGCAACCAGCGGTGCACTCGGTCTGTCCGTAGCCCTCATAGAACTTGGTCAGCGAGAAGAAAGACATTATTAGTAAGAGACAGCTGTGTCTTTGTAACTAACTTCCGCGGAATCCCAGCCTCTGAAACCTCCTAACTTTCAGTTTCGTAAGTTCACTCAGGAGCATAAAATGTACCCAAACATCTTTACCCCCATGTCAAACACTGGCTGCAGTCCATGCGGCCTTCCTACTCAACCTCCGGCAGACAGGACAGGTCAGTACCCTGTTGTACTCCTGCTCTGCTAAGTCAGGATATTACACACGTCCTGATTGTCAGCACCAGCCCTGGACTCTTTTATAATAGCTTCTCAGCGTGGTGTGTGGGTAGGCTTATCACTGATGACCCATCCCATCCCTGGAGCCATACTCTAGAGGCGTGGTTCACACCTTACCCTAGATAAAATTACACGTGCGTCTTGGCTAGGGCTATTATTCCCCTAGGAAATCTGGCATTAACCGAATTCCGAACAAAACCAAGGCCTACAAATGAGGAGCTGGGAGGCCTGGAAGACTGAACACATGAGGACAAGGAGGAGTGAGCTCAAGTGATGGAATATACCGCATGGTGAGGGAGCTCAGGGGCCACTGCACGGAAAACGGAGTAAGACAATGGCTGCCTACTGGACATCTGAGCTGTGTCTGTCTCAGGGCACAACGTCTGTGAAGTGACACGGTAACTGTGCCTCTGCTCAATGCACTCGCGCATCATGCCGCACAGTGACAGCAGACACAAATTCTCGTCAATCCAAACACGGGCCCACAGCACGACACCGCCTGGGATGCGCGGGTGGTGTGATGAACCTCACCTGACAGCCGAGAGCTGCCCTCAGAAACGTCAGCACTGTGGCGGACACCGGAGCCGCTCCTGTGACCATCAGCCGGACTTTTCCACCCAGGCTTGACTTGCGAGACAGAGAGAAGCCAGGGTTACCTATGCAGAAGTCGGAGCTCCTCTGCCAGACTCCTGCTTGGGACCCCCTGTCCCAGCCGACCAGCTGTCCTGCAGCTGCATGGATAGGACTCTAGCTTGAGACAGAGCTCTAGGTGTCCACAGCAGGACCCAGGGCTCAACCCACTCCTCCCAAAGCTGCCCGCATCCCCTGGCAGACTTGGCACTAAGCCAGCGCTCTGCTGCTAGACGTCTCAGGGATCAGATGATGACAACTACCATATTTCTGGCATTTGAGACAGCTCCTGAGATTACATTCTTATTCTCAGGCTTAAATCTTCACCTCAGGAGTGGGATATTTGTTCCAGAGAAGCTAAAGGAAGACTAAAACACCCAGAATCCTTCCATCTAGAACAGCTGTAGCACTGTTCAGATATAGACAGAGAACAGGTTCCACCTAATAGTCCTGTCTCTAACTTTCAGACAGATGCCAGAAAGAGTGGACATGTGTTCTTTCTTGGCTTCCTATCTAGCCCAATCCAAACACACTCGTGTGTGTGTGTGTGTGTGTGTGTGTGTGTGTGTGTGATTGATCTCTCAAGGCTGAGATGAGCATGCTAGCAAGCCTTCCACCACTGAGCTGTGTCTCTACCCCTCTTTTTACCTTGAACTTTGCAAGAAGGTTTCACTAAGTTGCCCGGGCTAGCCCTGAATTTGCTATCTTCCCACCTAAGCCTCCTGAGTAGCTAAAGTTACAGACCTGCCCCATTCACTGCTCCCCCCCCACCACCACATGCTCACTTTATGTGAGACATCCATGAGGTGAGAGCCTATCTGCTACCTGTATCTTGCGAAAGATGAGTTTATCCCACAGGCTGTTGTTTCTGATGATGCCGCTGCGAAGCTCGGCTTCTTTCCTTTTGGAGGCAAAGTCCAAGAGCCATCGCTTCACTGTGGTGTTTGCTTGTCCAAAGATCTAGTGAGGCAAGAGGGAAGGTTTGCACAGCTTCCAAGATTGCCACAACAAAAAGGGCAGATAGCAGTGTGCTGGAGACCGCACGCAGGAGCCGTGGAGCCGCTGGAGGGCAGACATGGCTTCGGAAAACTACTGATCAGCCCCTCTGGCTGTGAAGTACAAATCTGTCCCATTGTCCAACTCTACAAGAAATGAATACATGTCCACAGACAGCTACACACAGTGTTATGTTTACAGCAGGGTTACTTGTAGTAGTCAAAACCTGAAACCACCCAAACACCTGTCATTAAGGAATGGCTAAATAAACTGTGTCTGACCATACAGTGGGATAGTATCTGGCTATAAAACACTATAAAACACTAAAATGTACACTTTGAAGGTGTGGTATTGGTTGCTCAGGAATCTAGCAGGTAGAGGGTGGGTGGTAATGAAGGGTTCTTTTCCGGGTGTTGAAACTGACTCTGGTGTGGTTAGGAAACTCTGGAAGCACTCAAAGGTTTGGAAGGCGTCGATGTTCCCCACTGTAGCGCCCACAGGGACATCCTCAAAGACCGCTGAACGTCCCACCTTCACTGCTGGGATTGAAATGGGGCCTCACACATGCACTTCACTGGGAGTTCTACCCCCAGGCTCCAGACTGCACAACTCAAGAGGACAAATTGTATACTATGCGAATTATATCTCAATGCACCGTTTCAAAGGATTTTTGGAAAGAATGGATTTTAAAACTAACATGGTTTTTTAGAGAGGGCGAGAAAAGGAAAAGGGAAAAGTATTCATAGCACCCACTAGAAACTCAGATTAAGACTGGCCATGCCATGTGCTGATCTTGCCCGGCTGAGCAGTTTATGCTAAGACAGGAGATGCCACATCTTCTCAATCGGCACCATGGCCTGGACACTTCTCTTGGTGAGGTGAAGGGACGCTTCATGCATGCAAGGGTTGGTGGAACAATTAATAAAACCATCTTGTAGTTATTTGTGTGTGAGTCACTCAGCACCTTCACGAAACAGGGAGAAGGTACAATCGTCTGTTTCACAGATGCGGAGTGAAGCTCAAAGAGCTTGTGGAAACAAACCAAGGTGCAGCTTAGGGCTCAGCTGTGTGTTCCCTTAACAGATCTGTGCGGGAACAGAGTTCCACTTCTGCAGAGGTGTGGACTGAAGCTCTGTGAGAGGAAAGGGACTGCTGATGGCTGTAGAGGGGTACACGGTTGAACCCTAGTCAGACTGGCGCCGGGCCTCACAGTCCCACCTTCTGTCCGCCACGCTTTGTTGTCTGGGACTCACTCTGTCAAACATCCGGTTCAGCAGCCTTGGGACCACAGGGAAGATAGTGGGCTGAAGCACCTGGAGGTCCTCCATCAGAAGCCTGATATCTCCTTGGAAAAATCCTATCTTAGCTCCGTGACACAGCATCACACACTACGAGTGAAAACAGACAAGGGTCAGCATGACAAGGAGGGGTCCCCTGCACTCAGACTCATGGCAAATGAGCCCACAGCATTGAAACCGTAGAGCTCCCTAATTACAATGGTTTCTTTAAAAATGTGTCAGCATTTACTTGCCATCATACAAACATGGAAATGGAGTATTTTCACCGTCCCAGTGACACAGGAGTTAGTATAAAACTGGGTTGGGGGGAGGCTCTTCTTACTGGTAATGAGACGGGTTATCTGGGGCTAACAAGCTACATCTGTTGGATGAGTTATGTTATTTTATATTCCTCAGATATTTTTAACCTTCCAGGAACTTGAAAGCTTATTTATTCTCGAAATAAAAACCTCCAGACCAGACTTATTAAAATCTCATTTCCTTTTTTTGAATCTAAGTAAAATTTTCTGAAAAGACACTGAATTAGCTCGGGTCAGGATTCCAAGTGGCTGGCCACAAGATTGTCCCACACGATGCTTTATCTCCTGCAAACTGTACTGGCCGCCCAGACAGACTAGACAAGTTGTCTATCTGTCTATCTTAGGTTCAGAGTAAAACAGATTCGCTGAGTGCTGGCAGCACCTGTTGTGGCGGTCTGTGCATTCTGCGAGCCCAGCACTAAGGAGGGCGGAGATCTCTGGGACCTGGGACTCACTCAGTAGGCTAGGCCAGCTGGCCAGAGAGCACCAGAGCTTTTTCACGCGGGCGCGTCTTCATGCTTGCAGGACAACCACTTTACTTTGGTCAGCTCTCAAACGAAGTGCACAGTTATGTGCCCACAGGGAACCCAGGCAAAGGTCAGTTAGACACCATCCTTTCCCCCAGGGCATATCGGATGCCAGTGAAAACTCAGCCAGTTTGTGCATGAGTGAGAAGCACAAACAAGAAGGGAGGCATCTTCCACAACAGGAGCCTCCGAGACGCCAGATTCAAGGGATTAAAACATTTCCTTTGGAGAAGGGAAATAATATGGAGACCCACAGCTGGCAATGTGCAGAATATGGGGGACCCTGGAACACTCAGTCCTAAAAGGGGTGTCTCCATCAAGCCCTCCCCTCAGCTCTGGGAGCTCCATGTAAGAGCCAATGGGGACAGAAAACGCCAAGGAAACCAGGCCTTCTAGACACATGTGACTAACGCACACACGAACTCACAGAGACTGGCAGTCTGCCCAGGGCCTGCACTAGTCTAGGCCAGGTGGGGTTCCATCACTGATGGGAATGGGGCAAAAGCTCCCATCTATAACCCAATTGGCCATCTCCAGTTGAACCCCACTCCAAAGGAAAACTGAGGTTTCCCCGTGGAGCTTCACTGGATATACAAATCACTCAAAACGGAGGCCCCTCGCCAAGAAGTAGATGACCACCACCAACAAAACAAAAGGGATTTTTTAGAGATGTTTTGTCTCAGAATGCTTTGGGATTTTTTTCTTTTAACTTTGTCTTTTGCTTATCTATTATGTGTGTGTGTTTATGGGTTTTGTCTGCCTTATGTATGTGTGCCTGTGTATGTGTTTCTGGCACTTTTTTTTCTCTGTGTGTATCTGTTTGCTTTGTTTGTTTTATGTTTATTTGCCTTTATTTTTTGTTTGTTTGTTTATTATGTATACAATATTCTGTCTGTGTGTATGCCTTCACGCCAGAAGAGGGTACCAGACCATGCGGTTGCTGGGAATTGAACTCAGGACTTTTAGAAGAGCAGGCAATGCTCTTAACCACTGAGCCATCTCTCCAGCCCTTGCCTTTTTTTTTTTTTTAATCTGGCCTGTTGGTTTTCTAAAAAGAGAGAGAAAGAAGGCATAGAGTGGATGGGTGGGGAGGTAGGGAGGATCTGGGAGGAGATGAGGAAGGGGAAATAGTTCATACAGGTCAGAATATAGTGTATGGAAAAAGTTATTTTCAATTAAAAGAAAAAACCCTTCCTTTAATAATAGTTCATCTGCAACCGTGTCCTATGGACATTCTTTAAATGTTCAAACTCTCCAACTTTAAACTGAAGGATTAAAGTTCAAATACCCAGGTTGGACCTAGAATAAAAATTCATATTCTTTCTAACCACCACCATCGCGAACGGGATGGAGTGAAGAACCGCGAGTCCAGACGGCGCGGCGCACCACACTTACCTGCAGCTGCTGCTCATATATGTGTGCCAGTGGTAAAAACGAAATCATTGTGTCACTGGCATTCAAGGTCAGTATGCTCTGCAAGACACAACAACTTAGCGGGGCACACACAGACAAATGGGGAGACATAACAGATGCCTACCTCTACAATGCTCTCAAACATATGGGCGAGAGGCAAGAAAGAGATCAGAGTATCATCCGGGGAAACAGTGAATGCACTCTGAAAGCAAGGACACCAGCAAGAAGAGACGCGTTAAGACTTCCAGGATATCCCCATTTTCCTCCAGAGCAGGGCACACGGTCCCTCAACACTCAGTACGACCGATTTCTACTCATGTCTTTATTTTTTTCTCACCAAAGAATCAAAAGTAACTTTAAAAAAAAGTATTATTGGGGATGGCGCTAGAGCCTTGCACAAGCTAGGCCAATGCTCTAACATAAGGCTCTATCCCCGTCTCAAGGCAACAACAGGCAGAGTGGATGTCATCCCTCAAAACTAAGCATATCGACTTCAGCACTGTTTTCCCCTCCGTGAAGAAAACCTTGCCCAAACCGGAGTGTTGAGAGACTGTGCGCTCTGCTCCTTTCAGCTTTCAGTTACAACACCCCTCTACCAGGAAGTTCCCACTGCCCCTCGAGCAACGTTAGGATCCACTGTCTGACAAGACAGTACTGTTATACTGCAAAGGGAAAGGTTTCCCACGTCCTCTTATTTCCAGAGTAAATGGTTCTACTGGATGCGTTGGGTCAATATTTTTACCTTAAAGCCTCCCTTCAGCTCAGGAGAATACTCAACAGTGGTTAATGCAACCTCAAATCTGATTGAGGAGATTTGTTCTCCTATAAAATCCTGACCAAGATGAGCCAGAGGCAGATTAAGTGTGGATGCCTAGTGTTCCTCAGGGTGGGCCTTCTGAGGGATGGGTGCAGCGAGGGTTTGTACATAAGGGCATGTTATTAGCACCAAGAAAGCTTGCCAACACAGCTGCAGTCATGTCAATCAGAAACGAGGTGTGTGTGTGCATGCGCATGAGTGTGTGCATGTACGTGTACACACGCACGCATACATGTGTGCATGTGTATGCAATCTGCACTACTTTCTAGGCCGTATACTCTTATCTCTAAAGAGGGATCCGTCTTAGCAACAATGTAACCCTAAGTGGGGTCACTGCCTATGGGATGGGTGGGTTATAATTTAGGTTTGAGCTAATAAAGTTAGAAATGCATCTCAATTAGTATTTTGTACTGTGAAATTGTTACATGAGAGATCAGACCCAGTAGTATCCATATATGTGTGTGTTTATATGAATGTGTGTGTCTGTGTGTGTGTGTGTGTGTGAGAGAGAGAGAGAGAGAGAGAGAGAGAGAGAGAGAGAGATGTGGATTGAACCCAAGGCCTCGAGGATAGAAAGCTTGATTTCTACTGCTGAGATACATTTCCAGCACTCATACTTTTCAATTTTCTGGTATACCACAAAAAAAAAAAAAATCACACCAGTGTCACGGTTAGAAGCTCTGGAAGTTGAGCTTCTTCGTGGTGTAACTATTTTCAGTGAAGCTCTGACAGCGCTGCAAGCACACTTGCACTGATCTCTGTAGGCCTCCAGGGAAACTCACATTTCATCTTGGTGGCGCATTAAGTGCTGAGCTTTGTTTATACAGCGTACCCCACAAAAAGGTGGGAGGGTGAGAATAAGAAAAGTGACGGGGTAATAAAATTAAGTCTGGAAGCACTCTCAAAAATCAGCCCTCAACCGTCACCAAAGAAAGATCAACTCCCCTAAACCATGAGGTACAGACAGCCTTCTGCCACAAGAAGTAGGGGTACAGGATGCTCCCAGGAGCCTGCAGCAGCACACTGTTAAATGGGAAGAGAACGCCTTTGCAAAGATAAGCATGCATCCTATCTTTGGAGTTACGGACTGAACTCTGCTCCCCTAAGCCCCAGGCATTGGGAACAGGGCCCTGATGTGACCAGATCGGGAATAGGCTCCGACCCAACAGCCTGGCGTCTCCTCAGAAGAGACACTGGAGCACCCAGAAAGAGGCAGCCATCTGCGAGCCAGGGAGAAAAGCCCTCATCAGGAACCAAACTTGCTGGCAGCTGGACCTGGATTTCAGCCTCCTAAACGGAGGGAAATAAACGTCTGTTGTTCACGCCACATGGGCTGCAGTGCTTTGCTAATGGCAACCCGAGAGGACTACAACCTGTGAGCAGAAACCTGAAGAGGACAGGGCACTGACTCGAGTTTAAGACTTTAATCTTTTGCATACAGCGGGAGTCACACTGACCACAGGACAGAAGGAGGATTTAAAACCTTCAGCTGCCTTTAACACTCACTGGTAACTTAAACTAGGTTCCTTACACTGGAGTAAGGACGCTGAAAGGTCTCTCTCCTTTGTCTTTTCCTAAAAGTACTTAACAGAGTGACATCCAAACAGTCCCCACATGAAAGCCACCGTGAATTCCATATGGTGATCCATTCTAATGTCACAGGAAGGCCTATAGGATTAGCTCCATAGCAAACCATCTGAGAAGAGGGGACTTGGGGTCTTATGTGCAGTGTGGACCTATTGGGGTGAGGGGAGGCTTCAGTACTTTCTCTCCTGGGGCCTAAACGCAATCACTCAATGTGAAGAACCATGAAGACACTCTAGAGAATTACCTGTGTTGATTTCACAAAAGCTGAACAGTCGCTAATGATGTTTTGGTGAGTGATCATTGCTCCTTTGGGGTTGCCTGCAGAGTACACAGGGAGCAGAAGAAGGTTAGATACGCCAGCGAGAGCAGCAGAAACCCTCTCCCATTAGGGGCTCGGACAGCTCTGCTGTATACCCGCTGGGCAGTCAAGCACAGAGTAATAGTAAATTTCTGATCAACCTACGATCCCTTGAAGGAAATTTACTATCAGGAAATTGCCTTAAACATTCTTCACTAAGGTCTTTATGTGAGTCAACAGGGCATGAGAAGCTAGGAATTGCATTCTAGGTAGAGAGCATTTGAGTTCACGTTCAGTCAGTGCTGAATTAACCACACGGCACGCTCAGATTCTGAGACTGCCTCCCAGAGAAACAAGATGACCTCAATGGGTCCGCGTCTGTCTGTTGCTTTCTTGCACCCATCAACAACTAATTAATACATTACCCGGAAGGGAGGCAGAGAGCACAGACTTCCAGATACTGCTGTGAAGTAAGCACATCTCAAAATATACCTGTAGTTCCACTTGTGAAACAAATTACTGCAAGATCTTCTGGTACTGGAGGCTGAAGAAAATTTTAAGAGAGACGAGACACATCAGAACAGAATATACCAAGCCATAAGGTATCAGCCCACATTTCCAACGGTCTATAATATGAATAGGCATTGCAAGGAGCAAAAGGCTGTAACCCAGAGTAACCCATGAGGCTTACCTTGGGCTTCTTTCTGTTCACTCTTCCAAGGTCCTTAATTAGGGGAGAGAGAAAGAGAAAACCTCAGTATTAAGATTTTCTAACTATTCAGAGCAAAGTCAGGGCTATGGAGATGGCCCAGTGGTTAGGAGCACTGGCTGTTCTTCCATAGGACCTAGATTGGATTTCCAGCACCCACATGGAAAAAAACATCTGTAATTCCAGTTCCAGGGGATCTGATGCCCTTTTCTGGACTCGGTGCACACACATGCCATACACATAGAAAATAAAGAGCGAAGTCCCACAGGTTACTGCCTTTACTGTAGATGTCACTCTCAGCCAGCTAATCAAATGAATGAGAGCAACGTTAACGAGCAAAAGCCACAGCAGCTATTGTTCTAGAAAGCCACTTTCCAGTTATCTGTCATAAAACTACATCTTCTGCTCTGGATTTCAGCCCCCTCTTCCTTTTCCTAGGATTGCGTTTAGCAAAGCTTTGCTCCTGGCCTTAAGCAAAGACCGGCCGGTCCTCAGCACCCTCTCTCCTGACTATGAGGCTCCACCGCAACAACCTCTGCACAGGTGGAAACACTCTGCCGGACTTAAATGCTAGTCATGTTAGGGAGGCTCAGGTATCCATGCTCCACACACAGGGGAAGGAGGATTTGTGCACTCTGCACTGAAACAGGCTGCAAGGAGGGTGGGAGGCCACTTCTGGCATGGGCATTAAGGGGATCTAAGCTCTGTCCCTAGTCCCTAGATACAGTTGTTCCCAGCGCTGACTTCTGCTAATGGGTATGTGCTTCCGTTTACTGCATTAAAAGTAGCCTTTGTATCCGGTCACTGAGAAAAAAAACCCTTATATTCTTTTCCGAGGAAAAGTAAGCAACTTGAGAATGCACATGGAGTGCGCTGGCATCTACCACAACATGGAAATTGGACGGGCATGCTCAGGGCTCACTGAGCTCCACCTAGCACACTTCTCATCAATTGAAATTACACACGTCACAACCAAAGATTAAAAACAAGAACAATGATGTCTAATTAGAAGTCAGCTAGGGTTGGGCACTGCAGCACACACCTATAATCTGAGGCAAGAGGACAGCTTGGCCCAGGAGTTCCAGACAAGCCAGCAGCTTAACACAAAACAAGACGACGACAACAAAAGCCGCTCCACAGTCAACAAGGAGCTAAGGCAAATACTTCTGCAAATGATTTTTCCAAATAAGCTTTATTGACTTTGTTGGTTTCTACTCATTGATGCAAACTTTTCTCCATTTTGCTGCTGCTGCTGTTGTTGTTGAGGTAGCAACAACTTACTCGTGTAGGGCAGGCTGACCTCGAAATAGCTAGGGAGCTGAAGATGACTTTGAAATGATCCTTCTACTTCCTCTTCCCAAGTGCTGGAACTACAAGCATGTACCACCATGCCAAGCTCATCTGTTCAAAGTTCTTAAAGGACTTCTAGAACCTTCAGCTGATGTGGAGTGAGATAAAGCCATAGTCACAAGCAATTTGCTTTTAAATTAGGAAAGCCAACATGACCTCCACTGGTACATTATTTGGGGTGATAGCTCAGAGACTTAGGTCTGTCTTGCTATTTCTTAGAAAAAAATTCAAACAATTACTTTTAAAAGTGGTCCTTTTAGGTTAAAAATGAGTAAAACTGAGTTCTAGTGAGTGACAAGCATATTGGAATATTTATGAGTAATGAAATTTGTTACCTAATAAAAAATATAGATGGGTTGGTGAATACTGGGTAAAGTAATGCTGAGGCAGATGTGTTAAACCTGTAACCATAGACTATTTAGTAGGAAGAAGGGGATATGTTGTATTACTCAACAGTGTGTACGTCTGAAATGTTCATATTAAAAGACACAAGACGCAAACATTCCAAAATGCCTATATCCTACCTTGATTCTGCTAATATATGCATTAATATAAGTATATATTAATTAAAATGACCTCACAACCAACCATAATGCAAACTTTAAATTCTTTTCTTCTCAGTTTTATTCACAAAAATGTCTAAAATGCATAAATTACATTAAGCAGGTCAGTGTGTGTGAAACAAGATTTTAATACAAACTCCATACTACAATTGCCATTCAATCATCAAAGTCATGTTTTAATTTTAAAATTATCTCTCCCTCGTGCTGTGGTTAAAAAAAGACAAAAGGAAAGAACAACAGTGAGTGTGCCTTTTGGAGGAGGGGACAGAATGGCAGGTGGGAACGGATGTTTCAATAGCACACACGGAGACTACAAATTACGAAAACATGCCAGTAGAAAATGTCGGTAAAAAGCTAGATAAACTCTAATTTAAAAAATGAAGCCGAGGCAAAAATGCATATGGAGTCATTCAGTACACTGCGTGTGAATATGTAAATGTGCACACAGTGGCATGTTGGTGTTGGAATAGTGAGTTTCCCTCTGACTACTGGTTCCTTGGGAAAGGTCCCACGGACCCTGCTCTATAACCTCTAATTCTCTGTAGGAGGAGGAGGAGTAGACATTAAAAATCAAAACCTATTTATAACAGATCTCAAAAATATTTGTATCTGCAGCAACAGTGCAGCTTCCTCTTGGATGCATGTGGACAAGGGGCCTCCTTTTAGCTTTCTTGCTTCCTAACCTAAGACAGAGCAGTGTTGGGGTCAGATCCTATGCACCCCACTGATACTCCTAGAATGTTTACCATTAATGTTGAGCTTACGCTGAAAATAAACCATACTGAAAATAGCAACAAAAAGAAACATAAATGAGCTGGGCCAGTTGGTTTCATGTCAATGGGACACAAACTAAAGTCATCTGAGAGGAGGGAGCCTCAATTAAGAAATGCCTCCAGAAGACCAGGCTGCAGGCAAGCCTGTAGGCATTTCCTTAATCAGTGATTGATGGAGGAAGGCCCAACCCATTGTGGGTGGTGCCATCTCTGGGCCAGTGGTCTTGGGTTCTATAAGAAAACAGACTGAGCAAGCCATGGAGGGCAAATAAGTACACAGCACTCCTCTATGGCCTTGGTATCAGCTGCCATCCCCAGGTTCCTGCCCTGACTTCTTTCAGTGATGAGCAGTGATGTGGAAATATAAACCTTTCCTCCCCAGCTTGTTTTTGGTCATGGTGTTTCATCACAGTAATAATAAACCTGATTAGGACAGAAACCAAGCAAAAATCTGTGTTAAAAAAGCTGGAGGAAGGGAATGAGGAGGGAGGGCGAGAGGGTCTGTTAGTAAAGGCACTCGCTGTCAAGACTGGTTTCCTGAGGGTAATCCCCCACCCCCACAAGGTGGAGAGAATCAGCTCCAGTAAGCTGTCCTCTGGTCTCTATGCCTGTGTCACACACACACACACACACACACACACACACACACACACACACGGGGGGGGGGGGAACAAACAGACAGACAACAGATAAATGATGAGACAATCTGTATCTGGCTTGGTTTCAGAGACCAATCAGTAAACGCCAGTCAAGACCAAAGAGTATACACAAGAGACAAGCTAGAAACTTCCACCCGCGTGCGGTTGAAGTTCTAGTGCCAGTGTTTACTGGCATGGCTCACTGGTGCCAAGGATAAATGTGAGTACCACAGCTCCTTTTGTGATATATTAACACTGGGCACTGGGCATGTTACTGTGCTGGTCAGTTTTGTCAACTTGTCACAAGCCAGGACCATCTGGGAGGACGGGACTTCAGTTGAGAAGATGCCCCCATCAGATTGTCTATAGACAAGTCTGTGGTGACATTCTCTTGATTAATGATTGATATGAGAGGGCCCAGCTCACTGCAGATGGTACCATCCCTGGGCAGGACGTATAAACAAACCAACTGAGCAAGCCATGGGGAACAAGCTAGTTGGCAGTTTCTACAAGGTTCTCTTGCCCTGATGTAAGCCAAATAAAACCTTTCCTCCCCAAGTTGCTTAACCCCCCCCCCCCCCAAGACAGGGTTTCTCTGTGTAACAGCCCTGGCTGTTCTGGAACTCACTTTGTAGACCAGGCTGGCCTCGAACTCACAGAGACCCACCTGCCTCTGCCTTCCAAGTGCTGAGATTAAAGGTGTGTACCACCACTGCTCGGCCTTGGCTATGGTTTTTAACACAGCAACAGAAACTTAACTGGGACAAGCGATGAGTTCCTTTGCTTATGACCCAGCACTGGAGAGCCTAAGGCAAGAAAATGGCTACAAGCTCATGGCTAATCTGGGCTCCATAGTGAGCTGAGACCAGTCTCAGCTATGGGGTGAGACCATCTTTAAAAACCAAGCCAAGCAGAACAGACAAGGAACTCTGTGCGTGCAACCCAAATCTTTGTTTAGTGGGAGGATGGGGATTTTGTCCTGTATCTTTACCATGGCTGACCAGCACTGGGTACCACATCCAACCCTTCAGAGAAGTGGGCATATGTGGAAGGACTCACCTCCAGGGCCTTCAGGCTGATGATCTCCACCCCACACTTTCTGCCTCGTTCCACTAGATCACTGCCGTAGGAGTCCATGATGACAATGATTTTAAGGCAAGGAGTTAGCTTATTTTCTACACCTTCTAACAAGAGTTTGGCCTTTTCTGGATTGTCAGCAAAAATCACAGAGAGCTCAGCTGTAAATGAAGAGGGGATAAGAAATGAGCCCCAGGACGTCAAGAGCTTGATGACAATATATACGACACATGGATACTAAGATGCTGGGGTGATACAGATTTGACTGTAACATCCCCCTCCAAGCTGATCTTAGAATGTAAAGTCACCAGAGCGAAACCCATAACCAAGACAATGGTCACCCCAAGATCAAGGACATACCTTTGTTCACTATGTAGGTGATGGCTTCGGTTCCAAGGGTATCGTAGAGTGGAACAATCACCATCGAGTAAGTAAAGCATCCCTGTTCGATGATCACCCACTAAACACAGTCATGGAAAGAAAACACGGCGTGTTACCAGAATCATTGCAAAGGGCAGTGTTTCAAAAGTCAAATCAGAAGCATGTACGGCAACAAAGTTAAGATCTGTCTGTCTACCACTGTGCATCGGGAACCAAGAGGGTTCAAAACAAACACTCGCTCCTCCTTTTTAGCTTCTCTATTCTTGCAATCTTCTTAAGTTTTTAAGTTAGCCTACAAAATCTGCCCCTTCTTAAAATCAAACTGCAGTCTGCCTAAAGAAGAGAGGCAAGTGTGTGAGGTCAGGCCTAGTAAAAGACAAGACTGGCTTAGAGAGTGGCGACTTGCTGCAGCTTCTAGATGGCTTGGCAGGAAGAAACCCTAGCGTATCTGTCGTGACAGAGTCACAATAGGCTGGGAGACCAGTGAGCAAGCAGGCTGGAGAGAAGCCTCGTGGCAGGGGTGGACTGGAGGGAGCCTGAGCCACAGGGTCTGGCTCTACTGCACCGCACAGAACTACGAAAGTATTCTGGACAGCACAATGGCTGTGGGGTTTGAGGAACATCAATCTCACAGCAGCGTGTAGTGTGGCCTGGGAGCCAGGGAGGAAGAACACGTGCCTATCAGAGAGGAACGTTGTCTTGAGAACAAGCCTCCCTAGTAAGGTGGCCAGGGAAAGCGGTGAGCTGATAACCGTTTCCCTTGCCACTAGCCTCGGCTGCACAGTAACTCATGAGCTCCCAGACATGTGGGCGGCCCAGCCTCTCTTCTTTCTCACTCACAACTCCTCAAGACACCCCTTCATCCCAGCTGCACTTTTCAAAGGACACCACAGGATGCTATCACTGCACTGAAAAGCATACAGCTTCTGTGGGCGAGGAGCCACTGGGTCACATGTATGTGACATGGATCTGGAACTATGTCTGTGATTTTAGAATTTCCTCCAAGACACCACTTGGGGGCTCTGTCCAGAAAACACTTCCTGGCCGACCTCCCATGATCCTTCCCTGCATCCACACTTAGATTTGAGAGAAAGCATCTATTCCTTGAGATAAGGGGTTTGTTTGTGGGTGATAAAAATTCTACTGAAGTAAGCTTTTTGGATATGTTTCTGAGATATGAAAGAAAACCAAATCTTCCATGAGACTAAGGGCAGGCCAGCTGTGGACGATGCTATTTCTTGGCAGATAATGAGATTCAATGTAAGAAGACATTTTAACTAATGCAAACAGGAACACACACAGGGAGAGCAGAACCAGGATGCCTTTCTGGACACAGCAGATGTACAAGTAAATCTGAGGCTTGAGTTTTTCCAAGGCAGCTGCGGCTGACACAATAGAGTTAGAGCACAAGCAGTGTCTATGTGGGACTTCCCACTTCAATTACGTTTAAGTGTGTGTGTGTGTGTGTCCACACGCACGTGCATGTGTGGGTGCCAGTGGAGACCCAAGGAGTTGGACTCACCTGGAGTTAGACTTAGAATGTTTCTAAGCCACTTGATGTGGGTGCTGGGAATCGAACTCTGGTCCTCTAGAAGAGCAGTGTGTGCTCTTAACCACTGAGCCACCGCTCCAGCCCCTCAAGTCACTTTTCTGAAGTACTAAGTGTGAGCCTCGTAGCCAAAGAACAGCAGTATGTCACCACCAAAGCCAGCTCAGAGTGGGCATTTCACGGTATTTTAAGTTTGGAAATTTGACCAGAAGAAAAGTTAAGCCCTTTCAGGAAGAAAAGTTTGCTACTAACAAAAATATATCCACAATTCCTACTCTAATTTATTAATAATTTATTAATGCCTTTTATCCAGTCACAGAGGTACTTGAAGGGAAGGGACTTCTGATTTGACATTTTTTTCCCTAAGGATTTTGTTTGATGACCTGAATTAATAAAAACGTAAACATACAAACAAATTATGGGGAGGGGGCAAATGATTTTCTTTTTCTCTTGAAAGCTTAAGAAATTCTCGGTTTAGGTTTTTAAACCTATAACTTTCTAAGGAAAAGCCACAAAGCCCTATTCCCAGCAGAAAACAGACAACAAAATCTAGTCCCCAGCAGCTACAGGCGTGAAAATCACGGAGAACAGTGAGAGCCCTGTATGGCAAAGAAATCGTGGTTACTACCTCAGGTCTATTTTGAGAAAAGATGCCGATGAACTGCTCTGGGGAGGCCTTGAACCCCTTCTGGATCAGTGCGGAGCCTATGCACTCAGCCAGTTCTGCAACCTGCAGGAAGAGGAGGCAGACATTAGCAAAGAGGAGCGGTCTCACGGCAAGGCCCGTAGGGGCTCACCAGGTGACAGGAGTGTGTCGGCTGCAAGCAGAGCTGTTCAGAGAAGGGGAGCTAGCCCTTTTTAAAAACTGTTTGCACAACACAAGGTCTTATTCACCCACACAGCATTAATGGACCTGGGTACAGGACTCCTGCAAAGCAAATGATTCTGTTTGCAGGTCCCAGATGACTACAAATCAGGGCTTTCTATGTGTGTACGTTTCTATTCTAGTGTTACAAAATGAGCGTACAGAGACATTTTCCTTTCTTTGGGGGAGGCTGTTGCTGGTTTGTACTGCTGAGGGGAACCTAGGGGCGTGCACACACTAGGCAAGCATTCTAAAATGACCTTGTCCCCAGTACTTGACTTCTCCAGCTGGTTCAGGCTAGCCTCAAGTTCAGAGTCCTACCTTTCCAGCTGGGGGGAATCACAGGTATGTATCAAGAAGCCTGGCTAGACTTTCCTTCATTTATAACTTTGAAAAGTGACCAAACCCCTCAAAACCTGTCATTAGAAACAGCTTTTACAAAAGAAAAAAAAAAGACTAAGCTTTTATTTGTTTGTTTGTTTGCTTTGTTTTTCAAGACAGGGTTTCTCAGTGTAGCCCCAACTGTCCTGGAACTCACTGTGTAGAAACAGGCTGGCCTCGAACTTCTAGAGATCCACCTGCCTCTGCCTCCCGTGTGCTGGAATTAAAAGCACTGCTGGCTAAGGCTAAAGTTTTCATCTACAATCCCATTCTTGAGAACTTCATTTTGGTAAATAATACAATCTTACGAGGAGATTTTTAAAGGCATTATATGCAAAGATACACATTTCAAAATCACCTAAAGTTGAATAAAGCCGGGGGAGGGGGGTAATAAAACCTACTGGGTGGTGAAGCAAATGAGAATATTTCCCAGGAAATGACAGCTAGGGTAGCTGACGAATATTACAAGGATGAGAAAGGGACCGCGCCTAGGGCAGTGTCGGCTGTGTTGATGAGCGGTGAAGGCAAAGGAGAACCAACACCGTGAGACCAAGTAAAGCCAGCCACGAGACGCAGGAGACACATCCATGGCTACCCTCTCACCACTCCTACTCTACAGGCATTTTTAATAAGTTTAACCTTAAAACATTAGGCCAGGTGGTGGTGGTAATCTCAGCACTTGGGAGGTAGAGGCAGGCAGATCTCCACAAGTTTGGGGCCAGCCTGGTCTATAGAGCGAGTTCTAAGACAGCCAGGGCTACTCAGAGAAACCCTGTCTCAAAACACCANAAAAAAAAAAAAAAAAAAAAAAAAAAAAAAGACCTTAAAACGCGGAGTTCTTTATCCTCGAGAGTATTCTGAAGGCTGAAGGCATAGCGTGCATATAGGAAAAACAGCCATGCCAGCCTTGTTAGGAATCCCGTCAGTTCTGGTACACAACACTTTGCCAGGCCTAAGGGACACAGAGTGATGCTGGCCAGGTGACAGCCGGATGGCTCAGTGTCTTCTATTCTCGGCCAGTTCACAAGTCTACGTTGACTGTCAGGGACTGAAATCAGAGAAATGCCTGCAATTGCTCGCAGGGCTCCATGGGACAGTACGCATACATTTATGTTTCTAGAAAGATGGTCCATTTTGTTCTTTAAAAAAAAAAATCTCAAAAAGATTCTTACTTTCCTAAAAGTCAGGCTTGTTAGATGAGTAAAAAGTAAAATGAGATAAATATCTCTACAAAGCCAAAGCTGGCTTCAGTGCCATCCAGCTCTGTGCCTTTGCCAAGCCTCCGGCAACATCTTCAGAAACTCCGGGGACTTTCAGTGAGTCCTGAACACCAGTTGGCAACAGACGCCTTTCTTCTTCTGGCCAACAATGACAGAAATAACGCAGGGAGCCCTAGGGTAATCTCTGGGGCCTGAGGGCTGCCGCTCAGTGCCCTGTGCCCTGTGCCCAACACATGGTCTTGTTATAGGGACTCTGGAAGCAACTTTCTTAGTGTTTTGAGGTGGTCTAACTCTGCAGCCCAGAGCTGGACTCGGCCTCAGTATGTATCCAAGCTGGCCAGGAACTCATAATAATCCTCCTGCCCCAACTTTACCAATGCTGGGAGCACAGATATGAGACTGACTAATGAAAAAAAAAAAACTGGATAGAAACTGGTTTAGGCTTTGGTAAAGTCAAACAGAAAGTGGGAAATCCCTCTGGTCACGTGAGCTCCCAGCTCTGTCCAGACAAGGTATTAAAAGCTGATCTCTCTTGTCTCTCTTGAGAGACAAATACTACCTAAGCAAAGTGTTGGGCATTCTCGTCCACCTTCTGAAGACAGAAGAGGACAAATCCAGGGCTTCAAGCCAAGAAGCTCTGACAGGTACTCCTCCCAGGCTGGGGTTTGTGGCTCCAGAGGACAACTCCCTCCATGTCCACACCCTCAGACAACTACTAAAAACAAAGAGGGGGAAGTCAGTTTGTGTTCCTGAGCGCCAGAGGATTACCTGGCCCCAGAACAAGCAGCAGTGGAGCCCAGGGACAGAAAGCCATTTCCTGGACAGCTGTGTAGGAAAAAGGAAGGCAGCTAAACTGTGCGCGCAGCTGCGCCTGCCCATCCCGAGGCACAGAACAGCTTGATTCTGTGCAGCCATAACGAGAATAAAAAATTAAGGGGTGACGTCTTCCTGCTCTGCGACCCACTACTTACAAACTGACTGAGACAGCTACAGCTGCTGGTGGGCAAAGGCAAGTCTGAGCACAGCCAGATCCTAGCTTACACTGTATGCAGACAGAGAGGGGTCTTCTCTGAACACCTGGGCTCATCCCTATGCCTGCCAAGGGGTTAAATGTCACACCCTAGAGAGCTGGCCAAGGACAGTTCTGAGGATCGATGAACAGATGCCAACTTGCCCACAGCACACCTGACTTTGGTCTTGCTTTCGCCACTCACACTGTATGAAGGCAAGTTGCACCTTTTCACGGGGCATGTTTTCCTCATCTATAAAATAGGGGGACACTCCAAATTGGGGTTTCTCAGTTTCCTAGCACTCCTCAGGCAAAGATGAGTCATCCTAAGCCAGGGATAGGGGTAGGGGGAGCATTTGCTTCTGGAGATTTCTAAAATTATCTGAAAAGTTACACTTCCCAATAAATCCATATAGGTTGCCAATCAAGTGCTTCCAATCTCTAAGTTAGAGTTTCCCGGGATTTTCTATGCTCTGTTTTTCCATAGATGCTCAGTGGAATTTCTGAGGTGCAGCCTGTTGCCTGGCCCAGCAATCTTTCACTAGTGTGCTGAACCAATCTACAGAGCCATTCGTACCACTGGAGTCTGAAATGGACCCCACAGGTTCATGTGTTTGAACACTTGGCCCCTAGCTTTGGGCAGGACTCTGGGAAGAGGCAGAACCTTTCGGACATGGGGCCTAGCTGGCGGATGTAGGGTCACAGGAACTGGCCTTGGGTTTAGGCTAGGCCTGCTTCAGACTGGGCTTGGCTTTCAGAGTTGCTAAGATGTTAACAAGCTATATAATCCACCTGCACAGCCAGGCACCACACCTCCCTCACAAGAACCGAGCACCCCCACACCCGAGCTCAAATTGATCTCTTCTCCATTTGGTTGCTTACATTGATTATTTGGTCACAGACGTGAGGAGAGCTATCAGAGCGACAGAACTCACCTGCTTGTAGGAAATCCATTCATAGGGCTGGTTTGGCTTTCTAGAACCTAAGCAAGGGCCATTGTCTACAAAAAGAAAAAACAAAGATGAAGCAAAAGATAGATGGCGTTGACCTTTAACTATCCCTGCATTTTATTGGCTTTTCTCTTTATTCCTTAAAATATCAAGTAGACTCTAGTCTTCAAAGTAGAAATGGTGAGTTCAGATTAGAAATGCCCCCCGCCCAGTATGAAGTGATTTTTATGTTTTTATTTGCTCTGCTTCTTAAAAACAAGGGGGTTGGAGATAAACAGAGGAGAAAGGCAGATAGTAATATGACCGACTCTTTTGTTGTTGGGTTTGGGTTTTTGGAGACAAGGTCTCTCTACCACATGGCTCTGGCTGTCCTAGAACTCACTGAGCTCTACCTGCCTCTGCCTCCAGAGTGCTGGTGTTAGAGGTGTGCACCGCCACACGCTTACAATGACTTCCAAGAACATTTAGCCTGTGACTTTTTCCTTCAAGCCAGTGGCTGAGTGTAGCTACACACTACTGTGTTCAGAAGAGGTAGCCACTCTGGTGAAGCTTCAAGCCTTCCGACTCAGAATGAAACGCTTCCCCAAGAGCCGTGCGTTGGAGGCGCAGGTCCCTCCTGACTGGCTTTGGCTTTTGAGAAGTGATGGAGGCCTGAGGGTTCTGACCTAATGACTGGGTTAATCCCTCCATGTGCTTGTAACATGATGGAAGCATTGGGGATATCCCTGAGGGTAACATCCTGCCCTGGCTGCTTCCTGCGCCCTGCCCCAGCCCTGCTCCCATCTCCCACTCCAGGGGGAGGAAGGGAAGGAAAGTGAAGCTACCACAATGTCTAGGTTCACTAGTCCCAGTCTGAATCTGTAAAGGTGTTCTGATCTGGTGTGGGGACATGGGAGGACTGGCAAGGTAGACAAAGAATGGTTTTGCTAGGGGCTGTGACAAGCCTGGTCCTATCGCCTAGAGAAGCATGGCACACCAATGGATTCAAGTGTCAGTTAGATGTCAAGAGAATGAGATGGCGTGAGCTGGCTCGCTGACCGTTCCCTAGTAACAGAGCTGACAAAAATGGTCCTTCCAGACTTGCTTCAGTTTACAGCACTATAGCCAAGGTTCAGGGGACACGGGAGGGTCAGCAGCTCTGTTTCTCAGATGGAAGACCCCTCAGCTACAGGAACTGATGCCATTTTGTTCCTCAAGAGCTAAGACAGGCAAATTGCAGCCAAGGGCCACAATGAACCGGTGGCTGTTTTTGTAAACAGTGTTAGTAGATCACAGCCTTATCAACTCATCCACCTACATCTGAAGCTGCAGAGATTATATGGCCCCAAACACCTAAAGTACTTACTGTTTGGCTGTTTATGGGCACAGCACACTGATCCCAGCTCTAAAACTGTGGCTAAGCAGCAGCTTACCTGCAAACTTGAAAACCATCCATACCCAGGCCCTGCTGCCAAAATCTGATATAACTGGATGGCTTTAGTATATTTAAAAAGTGTCCCCAGAGGACACTAACACACAACTAGGTGCATCTTAAAAACATCAGGTTTAAGGGGTGGGGGTGAGAGAAATGGCTTAGCATTTAAAAGCACTGACTGCTCTTCCAGAGGACCCAGGCTCAATTCTCAGCCCCCAAAGTTCATCTCTTAACTCCAGTTCCAGGAGGTCTGACGCCCCCTTCTGGCTTCTATGAGCACTTCATGTAAAGGGTGCACAGGCAAAACAGACAACAAAAATAATTTAAAAAATTAAATTAAAATTAGGTTTAAAAAGCTCTAGGCTAGCTTCTCCTGCCGATGAACAAACTTCTGACCATCTAGGCAAATGCTGGGCCTTGCTCCTCTATAGTATTTTAATCCTGAGAGAGCTTAAGAACACTAATGTTTAGGATAAAATGTTTCTTGGAGGAAAAAGGAAACATTGACACAAAAAGCAGCTACCTTTAATCAATGCATATTAAGAAAGCTTACATTTCTTTTTCCTGTGATCTATTGAGGATCACTCAATTTCCAATCAGACAAGAGACAACAGAACAAAAAGTTGTCTAAGAGTCAGAGGTACAGTGTAAGTAAGCCCCATACTTCTAGGTACACCGCACGCTGTCTTTATAGAGGAAAGGGTGTACATAACTTACAACACATATTTTTTCATGGAGCTTGATGCTGGCCTGCTCTACCTCAGGGAGATTTCCTGTCACTGATAAACTCAGATCTTGATGCTAACTTCAAAAGGTTCATGCAGTCAATGATACACAAGGAAGTTTGCTTTCTCTTTACAATGGGCTAATGAGTCTTTTATAGGAACATTTGGCCGAACACAATGGGCTGAGTAATCAGACTGCACCAGTGAGAGCAATAAACAGCAGGTACTTCTCGAGTGCACACATGTCTTATGGGGCACAGAGGGGCAATCTCCCCCGATTCCTGGCTAAGACTACAATCTGGCTACCAGTGGCAAAAACCAGAAGCTGACGTATGGATCTTAAGATCCATTTCTATAACGAATCATGAAAAAAGCAAAAAGTAATCCTTAAAAAGAGTGTTGCTTCATGGACAATATACTAATTGAGTACCTACTATGGACAGGTCCTTCATGGGCAGTACACTAATTGAGTACCTACTGTGGTCAGGTCCTTCATGGACAGTACACTAATTGAATACCTACTGTGGTCAGGTCCTTCATGGACAACACACTAATTGAGCACCTACTGTGGACAGGTCCTTCATGGACAACACACTAATTGAGCACCTACTGTGGACAGGTCCTTCATGGACAACACACTAATTGAGTACCTACTGTGGACAGGTCCTGGGTCAGTGCCGTGGGGAGAGCAAAACAGAAGGGCATGTTCTTAAGGAGCACAGGCTGGAGGGCAAAAGGCAAGGCATGCCAGTCGAGTAGCTGTGTACGGTGAGGGGTTATCGCCGCCGAAGCAGATGTGAGATGCTGAGAGGAAAAGGGGGAGGTGCCCCACTGGGACAGGACCAGGAAGATGTTTATAGAAACAGCGAATGTAACAGGGTGTTCAAGGTACCTGCATGTCAAGAACACCGGAGAGGTTGGGGAGAGCAGACTTATGACAGAGAAAGGAAGTGCATGAAGACACACGGGGAGGGACCAGCCGTGCTGTCACCTGAGAGCTGACTCAAGGTGGAAAGCTGGGCAGAGGCTGTAATGGAGGCAGGCATTTGGATAGCAGGGGTTCTCGACGGTGTTTCTGATGGGGTACAGCTTCCCTGGAAAGTTAGTAGTTCTCTCAAAATATGTATGTCAGTGGCCCAATACATTCAAAAAATGATGGACCAGGGCCAATTAAATATTAAAAAAAAAAAACCACAGGAAACATCGGAGCCCAGTACATGTGATTCTCCATCAAATATAGGCCGTATTTGGTGATGGAGGACATCTGAAGGGTCCTACGAGCTTTGAGATCGGCTCTAACAAGTTACAGGAGACAGGACAGGGACAATGCTGGGTATATGGAAGACTGGCAGATGTGCCTTTCTGCAAGGAAGGCTGCTCATTCCTCATGAGAAACAACAGCAAAGTGTCAGTCACGACAAAGCAGCTACGGGCTTACTTGACACCTGAAGGCCCCTCTGGAAGCCTTCGTACAGTGTTCTGACATCATCGTAGATGTACACCAAGAGCTTGTCATTGTCGAGAAGCGCTGATCTTCGAGCACCATCAGTACCCTATTGGGAAGGACAGGGGCAAGCAGGATGTTAACAAGAAGCCCACAGCATGTTGTCTTTATAGAGGTGCATGCTGCAGCCAAATGACGCTAATCAACATGCCTATTTTTCTTTCCCGAAGCTTGCTATTTATTTGCGGTACAAACACTTAAAATCTCCCGCCCTAGCGATTCTCAGGTAGATAATACACTATAATGAATGAAGGCCATGATACTGCAGAAGAGGTTCTGTGAGTCTATTTTCCCTACTGTGCACCATCGATACATGCAATTACTATTCGTCGGTTAGATGTAAATTCAAAAATACAAACTGCTGTGCAGTGAGTAGCAGCTGAAGGAAGAGGGGCAGAATTTGTCAATGTGCTAATGTAAGCCAGCTGTTCCCTTGAAGAACCAAGGCGGCTTTGGAGAAGCGAGACTAAGATAACATGGCCATGAATGGAATCTTGGGGAAAGAAGATGGATTAAAAAAAAAAAAAAAAAAAAGCTGCTCACAGATTTATAGGTACGTGCACTGCCAGACAGCTGGAGGGAGGGGACACCAGGACAAGGCCGCCACCTTGCATACTCCAACTGTATTCACCAACAGAACAGAGGGTGATCCTGTCAGCTTGGGAGGAAACGACAGGTGGCTCAATTTTACTTCCACGAACCCCTCCATCCTTCCATGAGGATCCCCTACAGCTACTGCTCCCTCTCATCACAAACTGAAACACAGTCCGCGAGAACCTTCAGCTCCGCGAGCAGCACCTCAGCCGCCAGCACTAAATAAGTGTGAGCAGATGCAAGTCTTTCCAAGTGTTTATGGGCAGCTTGGACAGGTGGGCACATCTGCTGCTGAACACCTTCTTCTAAGCTGTCTCCACCTGCTGGGGTCTAAATACAACCGCCACGTACAGAGAGTCCTGATGGCGAACAGAGTATCAGTTCCTAGCCCCCCGAAGGGGCAGGAGGAGCTACTAAATTCTCTAAGAGATACTACAGGGGGTCCAGAGAGCCACAGGAACCCCTCAGACATTCCCTCTACACTGGTAAGGAAGAGCTCAACTACTAGGTTAGCGCCTTCTCCCTAGTTCACGTTTTAAAGGGGAGGCCCCTCCCATTTACAACACCCAGGAAAGCCTTAAGGGAAATTAGAACACGATATGAAATGCCCAGTACCACAAGAAAGGACTGTCCTAAAACCCAAGAGATCACTTCTGGCTTGAGGTTTGGTGAAAGAAAACAGGAAACCACCCCCAGCAAGCCGGGTCGAAGAGCAGCCAGAGTTCAAGTACAGGCACCCTGGCTGTCCTATGCTGTCCACAGCCACCCCACACTGTCCTTACAACACGGAGCTCAGGATGGTGCCTCTCATGGCACTCACCTACTCATTGTGACACGGAACCATCCGTGGCATTTCTCAATACAATGCCATCTCTTTAAAAGTGAAGATGACACCTGCATTCCACAGAGAAGCTCTCACGGCCCTAAGTGGAGCAGCTGAGACAGGCAAACAGGGAGCCTAAGACTTCTGCTATGGTTTGAATCTCAAATGGCCCCTGCAGCTTCATGTTTTGGATGCCTGTCCTCGGGCCAGTGGTGCTATTTTGGAAGGCTGCTGACCCTTAAAAGGCGGAGCCTATCTGGCAGAAGTAGGTCACCAGGTATAGGCCTTTGAAGGTGACAGAGAGCCTCCAGTTCCGCCGGAGCTCCCTGCATCCTGTCGCCATGGCGTGTCCAGCCCATGACACACAACCCCACTGCTATGAACTAAGCTGCTCCATCAGCCTTTTCTACCGTGGGGGACTGACACCCTCTGAAACCATGAGACATGGTTCATGAGCTTCCTTCTGCCCCCCCTCCCCCGATTCATGACACAAAACTCATACAGAAAAGAACACCAGGAAAACGGTGCTGTGGCTTTGACTGAATCCGACTCTTGCACTGCTGGAAGGATCTGCGGGAGCGATCTGCAAGACTCGGGAGACAAATTAAGAAATCTTAATGAGCAACCACAGAGGGAGTCTGGAAGATGAAAATGCCTCGGGACTGCGGACGGGACTGTTCGTGGATTTTCAGAGGGACAAGGGCTCCACTAGGAATTAGATGAGAATTCACGTGTAGGACGTTCTGGTTAAGAACGTGTCTGTGTCTATACTTTTCCCACATCCAGAAAAATAAATAAACAAATGAAGCTGAGCTAAACAGTAACAGTGCTAACTAACCAATTTGGAGAAGAAAAATGTGAAACTATATAACTTTAAGCTGTTGCATGGTTATTGCTAGCTGCTTTTTTAGTCAGCTTTACTGAAAGAGAGAGAAAAAAAGATAGAGTTTGGCCAGAATGGGGTCTTATTTAAAGTTGTAAACAAGGTAATCGTTAAAGAGATTGACCAGTAAAGAAAAGCCAGGTAATGTTTACTGGGACAATAGAAAAGGAGCCCTGTGGACTTTTCAAGAATTAGAGACTTCACCCACCAAAAAATCCTGGATCCTGGGTTTTGCATATCTCACTATCAAATTATATATACACACCATTTAAATATCTATCACCACCATTTACATAACACACACACCATCATATACATATACATGACATGAAGGTATTTAGGGAAAAGCAGAGGGTATGAGAGAGAAGGTGGTTCAACTATATTTTATACTTGCATGAGATCCTGTACCATGTGCTGTGCAAACATACCAATACTAAAGAACCAAGTTAAAACAAACAAAAAATAAAATCTATGTCTAAACCCAAAAACTCATTTTGAAGACCTTCCTTTAAAAAAAAATGCTCCTTGTGAAGCGGGAAAGGGGGATATCTCACAGGGCCCCACCCATATACTAAGAACTCAGGCAACTAAGGCATGCTGAGAGCTGAAGAAATAGTTCCCCAATGAGTCCCATAACTGATTACTCAATACCAAGTGGTCAGCCCCCAAATCATATACATATAATTAACACTAAATGGTTTGAGCAGGTTGTATTATGTTTAGAGGTATGTGTGTGTGTGTGTGTGTCTGTGTGTGTGTGTGTGTAACAATAACAACTAAAAAATGGGGGGGGGCACAAGCCATAATTTTGAGGTGGGGAATACACAGGAGGTTGGAGGGAGGAAAGGGAAGGAAATGATATAGTTATATTTTAAATATATTTTAATTAATACATAATTAAAATATAATTATACAAAGGTAACGTATTTTTAAAGCTATGATAATAAATAACATCACTTTGGCAATTAAAATGATGGCGGATGCTAGGGAAAAAAATGAATACTAGCCACTAACTGTGAGAACAATAAAACAGCTTTCCTAGGGTGCTTGACTTGCACAGAGCTGCATAAGAAAGTGTTTTCCCAGGTTCTCCAGAACTCAGAGGCAACTGTGGCCATGGTGTGAGAGGGGCACAGACCGGGAAAAGGGAACTCAGAGGTGACTGTGACCACAGTGCACGAGGGCACAGGTACCGCTCAGGCTGAGAGCGGCAATGTGTGTTGTCCTCGTGGTACTAGCTGTGTGGGCATGCAGAATGCTAGAAGTATGGAAGCATGGCCGCTTCCACCAAGAGTTTTCAGAAACTCTTGTGAGCCAGGCAATGTATAAAAGCTTCAGATTTGCTGCGGGGGACCCCTGAGAGGTCAGGAGATGAAGCTATGAAGGTGAAGACTAAGTTACAACAGAGTTCCCGGATGTTGGAGAGGACTAGAACATAGGCTGTCTGCCAAAGAAAGGTTTAAGCACAGAACAGAGCCAGAGGCTGTGTGTGTCACTTGTGGCAAGGACAGGGGCTCCTCAAGTCCACTGGAGCATACATCATACAACATGTGCCTCTCATACTGGACACAGGGTTACATGATTGAATACTTTCCCTGCTGGCTCTGGGCCTTGCTTTGGTCCCCACCCCCTTGCTCCCTTTCATGGGGTGTTTGCTCTGTGTCGTTGTATATTGGAAGTCTATAGTTTTTGTATTTTTTAGGAGCTAAGAGCGAAAAGACTGCTTTGGGTCTCAGCAAAGATGCAGACTTTTGGTCAGGATGGAACTGTGAAGGCTTATGGGACTCTAGGCTGAACTAACTATATTTTATGCTATGAGATGATCAATGTTATGGTTTGAATCTGGAGTGTTACTCCATTGGCTCATGCTTTGACTGTGTTCTCTAATCAGTCACTCTCTTAAGAGGGGCTGTGGAACCTTTAAAAGGTGGGGCCTAGTGGACAGATGTGGGTGATGGGGTAGGTGTTTCAAGGTGTATCTAGTCCCTGGTTTCTGGCTGGCTCTCTACTTCCTGTCTGTGGGAACATAAACACGAACTTCTTTAGCCCCATGAACGAAGTGCTCCACAATGCCTTCCCTGCTGAAACTGTGAAGCCATAATCATGTCAGGACACTGCAGTGCAGAAGTAACTGAGACATCTTGCCCTCGAGTGACCAAAGACTCCAAGGAATATTGGCCAATCAGAACAAAACAAGGAAATCAACAAGGACAGGCAAGAGTAAGTCTGGACCCTGAAGGGCACAGGCTGAACAGGTGTCTTTTCTAGAAATAAACTCTGGGTCTCAAAGAAAGAGACCATCATTCCAACTGGAGTATCTGAAGGTAGACTTTACTCTTGACCAAGAGGTCACACACCAAGGGCACATGCACTCATGCATGCATGCCCCCAGAAAGACAGGAAATGCACTTGGCGGGGGTTGGGATGGGGGTGTGTGTGGGGACTTGTGTCCTTTCCCCATTGGCAGGAGTAAGACCTCACAGTCTCATTTAATTACCCAGGCTGTCTTAAGGTCATAAAATTCCTGGAATGCAGCAGGAGGCCTTATTGTAACAAAGGTTTATCAGTCGGGTGGTGTGGAGGGAATTAAAAATTTCCATGAAAGTTTTTAAAAGGTGGGGAAGATAAAAAGTTTTATAGTATTTAATAGAAAAGACTCATACTCAATATTTCTTACTTCTTAGAGACCACGTCTACAAAATACAAACTGGGGGAAGCAACCGACATTTGTTGGGAAACAGAGTGATGC